CGACCTCTCACATATGTGTGTACCTTCATATAACTTATAATTTCTCCAAAACTTTTATTCTTTTTCACTTTGTAGCCATTTTTTTTTCTTGTAATCTCTTTCATCTTTCTCTCTCATAAACCCAAAACATTTTTCTTCTGAAAGCTATGAAGGGATCCGATCAGATCAGCAGTGTCAAGGCAAGTCGCTAGTTCTAAACTGTGATGATATATATAACGTACAAAGCAATGTTGATTTATGTACTTTGTTCTCATCTTCTTAAATTTAAAAAGCAAAAGTGTAAGAATTGACAAAAAGAGTTCTTCACAAACAAGAAAATCAGGCTTTTGCAAGAGATGATGACATGCAATTATTTAAAAAGAGAAGGCAACAGACCGATATGGTCCCCTATATAGCACGTAGCAAAACCATACATGAGACAAGGTTGTCAATTTCAGAACCCCAACCAAGCTAACTTATCTTTACCAAAAGTTTCCCTGTACCACCTACCTTGTATGTGATATGATATGATTGCCCATCATATTGCATTCCCTCAAATATTCCCAAATCCCAATTTCCTTTTCAAGCAAACGATTCTTCACAAAAATAATAAAAGACAGTTCCTTCACGTAATGCTACTAATTCACATGTTATAATACAAACGAATAATACGATTGATTCCTCCAACACGAGACGATGATGAATGAACCATGTAACTGAATTTCCACTTCTGATGAGCTATCTTAGAATAATAAAAATGCCCCATTTCCAATTTTAATTTACCCATTTCAGCTCAGGCTAATTATAATTTTAGTCTGCCCCATGCAATCTATCTAAACTCACTTTATTTTTTCAGTCTCTTTTCACCATTTCTTTTCTTGTCTCAGGGACCCCTCCCTAGGGTTATTTTGAGCTTATAATCTCTGCTAGACACGTATGTTTTGATTGACATCTTGTCAACTCATCACAAGAGTTGCATTGGGAAAGGCAATGTGTTTTGATGCAGAGACACATCTCCAAGCTTTCCACAGGAAGATGATGATCTGTGATTCTGTGAACCTGTGATGGTTTTTTTTTTTTGGTCAATAGAAATCTGTGATGGTTTGATGGTTCACATATAGCATAATATATCATGTTATAGCTTTTCCCATTAATTATTGGTCTGTGGGTAGGAGAGGTTAGGTAAAAACTATAGAGTAAAAGGGTAAACCAGTTTTGGGGATGATATTTACTGTGGGGTAAAGAAATTGAGAATGATTTAAATTCTGCAGAAGGCTATCAATCATGTGATGGTATGGTATGGTTCTATGCTGGAATCTGATTCAGTGATAAAGCAGATTATTATTATTTAGCCATGAAGCAGTTTTAATATCCAAACCAGCAAAGGGGAGTGGATTTTATTAGCAGAATTGGAGATAAAATTGCGGCAGAATATTTGGAAATAGGTGCTGTCTGATGACTTGAAAGGGAATTGATGCTCTTCTTTTATGGTTGGTATATATTGTCATGAACAACTGAGTAAAATCCTTATTCGAAACCCTAGCATCTAATGAATATTTGTGTAAACCCCCTTCCTAATCGTTTGTGTTAAAAAAAGATACTTATTAGGAACGATATTATGACTTCAATTAGATCTTGTCATGCTGGTAGACAAAGTATCTAAAGTTTTGAACATAAATTTGTTCTGATAGACTAATTACATATAATTTAATCCTTCTTTACCTAAATTTAATAATAATAATATTTCATGAAACAAGTGGTTTGGAGAATATAGATTTAAATGGGTTTAAATTACTTTTCCAGGTGAGTGGGACTGGGACCTCAAATGCAGGCAATGCATATATCATGTATATATTAACATAAAAAGAGAGGATAGTTATACCAGTCAAATATTAATTTTGATTGAAAAAAGGCTAACCATGATTATATGAAACTTATTGCTTTAGGGAACAAAGGCTAATATACCTTAATAATACTGAGTACTTTGAAAATAGTCTTAATCATGATGAAGTTCTAGAGAAGCACCAAAAATTCATATGAAGTTCCTTCAGCTCGAGGTTGTGGGTATGCTCTGGTGCTAGTGGTGAGAGTAACCAATCTCCCTCTAAAATTTTCTTTTATAAAAAAAATCCATATGAAGTTGTAGCTATCAATCATATTTTTTATGTATTGCAAATTTCGTTTTCTGTTCTGCCAATTAATTTAGCAGCAATAAAATAAATAATCACAGGAAAATAAAGTATGACCTTGGAGATTTCAACAGATAATGAATGAATGAATGGAGGTCTTCATCAACTTGTGGGAAATAATTGTGGGGTTTTCAATTTTCTCCTAAGAAGCACTTCTTTTGAAAGACTTCTCCAACTTTTTTTACACTCTGATTAATCCCTTAATATATAAAATGTGCATTCATTGTTGGCACCTGCCACTTACAATTTCCCCCTCTACCTAATCAATTAAACATAATAATAAACTGGTTGGCAAATCATTTTTATTGTAAAAAAAACATAAGTTGTAAATTTTTGTATAAAAAAAAAAAGAAAAAAAGAAAAAGAAAGAGGCTCATTTGGGTATGTGGGTTCTATTTGTTTATGCATAAAACAAAGAAAGTAAGGTTGAAATCGAAAATCACTTCACGAAAAAGAATAAAATCTCTTTCGATAAAAAATAATAAAAAAAAAAA